ACTGAACTGTAAATCAAAGTCTCTATTGGAGTTTCTACAGAGGAATGTCTGAAAGTCAATTTAACTGCGGTAGTTTCAGTGTTAACACGGATTTCCCTTTTTCTCTGAGAAGGTACTTCTGCTTGTAGCCTCTCGAGACCGAGACTCCGACGACAACGATCACCACACGGAAGCCTATCCGTGAGAGAATCTCCCGTTCGACGACTGTTCCTGTTCGATGACGCGATACTCCGATGCGTCTAACGAGATTGCAGGAAGAAGCGTGTCCTTTGTCGGCGCGACCAGTCGCGTTAAACGGCACTCCATTATGCAATGTATCGTTTCGACCGATGTACGACGGGCGTCGCGCATTTACATAATGATCGCGCCATCGCTCGCCTCGCGATCAACTGTTCCATGATCGAATGAACGACTCGTTTCGGTGCCGTGCAATTACACCGAGCAATTTTCTATTAACGTCGGCCGAACCGTTAACGTGCCCTCCACGCGAAACGTGCAATCTACCGCTGCCACCGAAATTAGAGTCGATTCCGCGCGTTATCCGATCCGTCTTTCCCTTCATTGAAAGTCTCCGTCAGCTGTCCCGACGAGAAGGGAGGGTTGGAAACAATTGTATCGGTTTCAGTTCTCGAAACAGTTATAAACAACCGAAACAAGGTCACAACCGGTATTCGGTGCATCGGTTCTACAGGCTGTGACAAACGGAAGAGCGAGAAATATCCGATTCACACCGGGATTCTGGGCGAATCGGATATCTCTCGCTTTCCTACTCGACGAAACGAGACAACCGGACGCGAGTCGTTAGCGCCACGTATACTTTCGATTCGAGAAAAGCCGCGGCCGACCCAGAAACTACGAAATACCTCGTAAATTCTGCGCGTCCCGAATTCGCGCTTGCCAAGACGAAGCTGAGACCGCTCGAAATCGCGTTCATAAAGTTCAACGAAAGAGGCGGCGAACCGCTCGGCGAACTACTCTTCGAAATTGATAATCGATGAAGAACTCGGCGCGCTCGCGTTCGCTCGATTTTTCTCGCTTCGCGGGAGTGACGACGAGCTTCGATCTTTCCAGATCACCGAGCAATAAATGTGGAACAGCTCTCGCTACTCTATAATTAGTGGTTCCGAGGGGTGGCGAGCAACGATATCATCCATGTTCGAACAGACCACCTATTAAAATAACACGAGTGTTGGGTTTTAGCGGCGTTGGCGTGCAAAAACCATGGCACATGGCGCGCATTCGTCGGACTCGGCGAATTCGCTCGACGCGAATTTCTGCGTGATCTCTGCTCCGGATTTCTGGTCATCCTCTGCGGGATCAACCCTTACAGATTCGAAGTGCATCGACGATCTGCTCCGAATCGTTAACTAGATTTATGCCGATTTTAACTGAGTTACGGAAATATGTATGCTAATTTAGCGTTAAACTTCTAATTCCCAAGATCTAAACGATACGAGTCAATAAAATCAGAAAATATAAAGAAATATCAATCTTTCTAAGAACGATAGAACAAAGTACAGCGAATATCCATGAATCTAGTGCAGATTACGAGAATATTTTACGCCTCGAGGCAAATCGAATTATCTCGTCCCTTCTACTCGCGAGAGATTTCCCGTCTTTTATCGTCCATTGTCCGTATCTGTACGAGGGTCTAGGACGGTAGGTGCGAATTTCCATCGGCCGTTTGTTTTTCGTCCACCCCCCGGCAAGGACCGGAGCGTAGAAAAGTTCGAGGGGGCTGGTTGGCGCAGTTCGCACCGAACGCACTGACGAAGCCTCTATAAATAGCGGATACGTCGCTGAAATACGTGAAACGAATACGGCGCGCGCATGCACGCGCGAGAAAGAAAGAAAAAAAGGGAATGTAATCGACAGATACGCGACCTTAATTCACGCGTTCGGCTCCGGTTCGAGATCGATTTTCATTGCCTTACGACAATAAACACGCCCGCGCGAATGTTTCGCGTGCCGCGTCGCGCTTTTTCTTCCCCGCGGCGGCTCGCGATCGCGCGAAGCGTTTCCCACAATCCGCCTGAACAGTTTTTCGCGCGATTCCTCCGGCATTTCAGCGCGAGGCGCGAACGTTCGTTGGAATTCGTATTCGCTTTCGTAACTCGCGGGGGTGGACCTCGGAGAAAAAGATTTCACCGTGTCGCTGTCGCTACTTGTATTTATCCGTGCATTCGATACATCATTAACTCTTTGTAGACGATAGTTTCTTGAAAAACTGAGTTACGTAACGAAGTGTGAAGTAGTATAAAACAAGAGAACTTTCTGATTTCGTCTTTTCTAGGTCAGAAAGCTCTTTTTATAGCTCCTGAATATATTGTATAATTTCACAAGGCAGACATTAATGTTCTCAATTTTTGGTTTCTGGGCTAAATAACTCTAATAATAATAATAACTAATAATAAATAACTCAAATTACCGATTTGCAATTTCTGGTTTTAGATATCGAATCTACGAAGTATCGAGGTATTCGACGGCAAATGTTTAAAAAAACGATGGGAATGCGTAGAATAGTAATAAACTTCTTACAGTACTCTCGAATTCGAATGATCCTGTACGAAACGAAGACAAGATTCTGCGAAGAAAGGCTAACCGAACGAAGCGGCGCTAAAGAAATGTGAAAGTTATCGGGTCAGGGAGGCTCGAAGAATGCAGCGGACTTAAGTACCCGGTGAAATTCATCTCTCCTCCTGCGGACGCGATAACGATCGAATATTTCGGTCGGATCCGGCTCCGTTGAACGAGCGCGGTGTTTACACCTACCGACCGACAGACGATTATGCTAATTGCCGTTAAAAATCAACAGCCGGTTGCGCAACCGGCGCGCGAGAAGTAAGGTACGCGTATCGCTTGCACTTTCCGTGGCCTAGTGACACGTGTGCGCAATTGTAAAATTAATTTGAAACGATCGATAACGGTCTGTCCGTGTCCGTTTCGTTTTTACGACCACCCGGAAAACACCGCGAGAGACAGGCAACGGTTGGCTTACGTAAGAGTACGTTCCCGTAAGTTATAAGATGAAACTTTCGAGCGGCCAGGCTCGATTATGTGCTAATTAATGTTGCAAGTTGAGAGTTATTCGGCCGGCGGCGGTATCGATTGGCTCTACCGAACGACTTCAACGGTAACGCTATCGAGAAGCCAAGTTGACTCAAACTTTGCTATGGCGACTCTGAAAATAGATCTATTTTCATCTCGATTGACTAATAATTCAATTTACCACTGAATCAGTTTCTTCAGCGATTTCTCGGAAAACCGTTAACCCACTATGGGCCGAATTTTTGTTCGTGACTAACAAAATCTATGCAGTACAAAATTAATAAATATCCATATATGAATACAAATTAATAATGTATTCAATACTTTCAATAATATATTTTGTAACTTTTAAGTTATTCTGACGTTAAACTTTCACGCCTGAGTGTATGAAAATTTAAGTTAACTGATTAATTAAAAACGAAATGTTCATAGTAAGACTCCGACCTTTCGCCGTTGACCTAACAGTGCTATCATTGGTTCAGATACACCTCTCGATTGTCTGATATTATAATCAAACTTATCAGCGAAATATTTTCCATTTCAATCGATTTACATACCGATAAACGGACGTTCGATGTAATTGGACCAATACGATCCTGTACATTTCATCGAAATGGTACCGATCTTAATATGGCGGACAAACGTAAACAGACGTTACGTCGCAGCAGCGCAGCATCGATCGGTTTCTTTGTAATCCGTATCGATCAAACGTAAAAGATTGCGTCAGCATCGAGACAGACGACCGAAGATAAGAATCAAGGATAAAAGAGAAAAAAAAACACAAGAGAGGCGCTTCTTAGTTTTGCAGCGTTAAAATATCGTCTCGCGCCGATTCCCTTTCGCTCGCGTCAGAGACGAATTTTCGTCCCGAGCTGTTCTGGGACGCGAACGGCCCCATAAGAAACCGGCGAACGCTCGGCGTACATGTAAACAAACCGTTCGGGAATTTCAATAAAGCGAGGCACGCACCAAGAGCCCCGGGGCTTGTTGATAGCCAATCAAGTACACGGTCGCGCACCGAGTTCTTTCCTCTGCCCATTCTTCCCTGTATCCTTGGCCAAATGCGCAGAGTGAAATTTAAAAAAACGTAAATAAATCGTAGTCAACTTCGTAGCGAGTATCTCGGTAGGACCGACGAGAGAATAATTAAAACTTTATCGATTATTCGCGATCAAGATTGGCTACCCGCTAGCAGCAGACTCAAGTGGCTAATTCGTTGCTAATAACCAAACATGGCTATCGCGTTCGAATGTGTGTATCAATTCAAAACTTTAATTTTCGAATCTACGTGTAGAAATCTTTTTTGTCGGAGTAATTTCGATAGGCTATCGGTCGATAAGCACTAGAAATCGAAAAGCCATTATAGGATTTCGGAAAGCCGTTGTATTGGTAATTAACCGTCTGCACTAGCAAGTTTTGCAGTAGAAATATTTTCACATTGACAAGATAAAGATATTTTGAAACTGGAAGAGAAATTATGCATTGAGGAAAGCTATTTTATTTCAATATTATTTGCATATACTTCGCACTCGGAGGTGACTCTCAGTTACCACTTAATTGACGTAAAACTATAAAATCTGATATTTAATGTTGAACTTTGTACAACGTCTCAATACGTGAAATATTAGAATAAAATAACCTTGTTCCCTACTTGTGATTTCCCTCCATTTAATTTCAAGGAGTCTTCGCCTCGTCAAAAAAATATTTCTAGCGAGAAACTTCCGAGGCAAAGAGTTAAACATCAAATCCAGTTTCACGAGTGCAAAGGGTGAACCAATAGCACCTAAACGCCTCAACGAATTTCTGATAGCTAACGCATTTTAATAGCCAATAAAATATAATTTAAAAATCGAAATCTCGCGTGGTCCGTTTGATGCGTCTACGACGCAAGTCGAAAGGGTAATCGTGGCGGGTACGTGCGCGCGCGTAAAAAGGTTAGGTGCGTTTCGGCAGTTACGCCGGTAGCAACGTACCTGGTGGTGCTCTTAAAGAAGTTGTTGCTTTCACGGTTCATTAGCTCGCTACGGAACCGTGACATCTCGTCCTCCATCTTTCTCATCTCGGCGTCGAACCGTTCCCGTATGTTCGAAAACTCGGTGTCGATCACGCTGAAGTCACCGAGCTTGATGGGAATATTACGCTTGATACCACTGTCAGCCATGATTCTCTTCTCTTCGACCGCACTCGTGTCTCTTTCACCAAGCCACTAAAGAGGTATAATAATAAGCACTGCTCTCGCTCTTGCTCTCTCTCTCTCTCTCTTTTCCTCTTCCCCTTCTCTATCCTGGTTCTCTTCTATCTCTATCTAGCTGCCTGTTTCGCGAACGATCGCTTCTTATGATAGCGAGATACTTGAAGCCACGTATAGAACCGTACTGTGCGATGCCTCGCCTAAGAATGAGCGCGGCTCACCGGCTGCTCCTTAAATAGTCCCGACGCAATCGTCGAACGGCTCGTGGGAGTTCGCCGGCGCTCGGCCGTCCTCGGGCAACCTCGCGGCCGTGCACGCGGTCCAAACCGGCCCCGGCGCTTCAGCCGCGTTTCGTTGGCTCTGCGCGAAATTTTGTTTCATGGAATTAAATATGTATTTCTGACTTGCTGGACGAACGCGGCGAACGAGTGCGTGCACCTCCCGCGAATAACGTGAGTATTCGGATTTCGAATCTTCTTTTTCGCTGGTATATATAATCAATTAACGACTGTGTACCCCTTGCATAAGGTTTGATTGGTATTTTTGGTTTGGCGTGCATGGTTCTGTAGTTGGTCGAGTGATGATTAATTGGAATTAACGTGAAACAACAGGTGGTGAAAATATCTTTATATAACGAAACGGATAAACGAGTTAGCCTTCCTCGGCTAACGAATTAAGGACACCGTAGTCCCGATAAAAAGAACTCATGATTTATCGCCTTACAGGAAAGCATGGAGGGTAGCATCTGTGGAGATCGTAATAAAACATAACGAAGATCTCCGTCGGCAACTGGGTCACCACGGTAATTCAGGTCCAATCATTTTCTTCGCGGACGTTGCTGCCTCCAGAAAGCCCCTGATGCGCTGTGTAATCTAATTAACCGATTGATATCGTGGAAATTTGATTGCCCGTGATTAAGTCCTGTTAACGGTAATAGCGTGAAAAATGGCAACGATGAGGGAATGATTTTACTGAAAACGGCACCGTAACGATAATCGTTAATCGTTCAATCCGTTCGCTGCCGGGGAAATTAAGAAGGTCTCGCCCCGAGCGCCAAAAGTTAATTTCGAAGAAAGCCAAATTGCTTCTTTATTTATGATAAATAATTGCTCGTCGTTTATTTCTTCGCTTGAGATTGTCGTTCGTGGAAAGTAGCTGTTAATCCAAGCTTACAGCGCTAACTACGTGTTACCTTGTAATTGGCAGCGAATGGGTTGATCGTTTCGGCGAGAAATTTCGTCGTTTTAATTCGAATTCGATCATTTTCAGGATTCCAACGGCTAACAGGCTATGTCGGGTGCATACGTGTATTCATCTTCGTGGGAGACAATCAATAAGGAAATGATCGCGCGGCGTATTAGTCATCGTCTCCCGCGCAAAGCACAATGCTTCCTCGTGCCTACGAAATCGTAACCAACGTACGCCCACGAATTCTTCTTGTCGGAGATCACTTATTTATCTAGGATGCCCGTAGGCTTGCGTACACTTCCGAACAGCTTGACGTAACTATACGAAGATTTCGTTCAAAGCTGAAAATGGCCCAGCCTCAGCGTTAACTCTTTGTCCTACGATTTCTGCCTCAATTCTGCTCGGCAAAGCTACCGTTCATAATTCACTAGGAAACGAAAAGAATTCGATACCTGTTCACCCTAAAGGTGAACGGTCAACAGAAAAGTACCATTCAATCTCCATTCGGAGGAAACAGATGACACGTAGATCAGTCCGAATTCAATTTGAAATTCTCACCGCGAGGCTGGCGCGATGTTATAGGACAAGGGGTTAATATCGGCGCGAACGTTTCAGGTGTTCTAATTCGGCGCGGCGTTCGAAGAAGCGCGAAGGCCACTCGTAACGCCGCATAACATTTTTTTTCCCTTTCGTTCAGCCGCATTAAATCAAGCTGCAAATGATGCCGACGCTATTTTCGACGGTTGCAGCGTCACCGCGCGCCGAACTGAATGGAGCGCCGCGTCACGACCGCCTCCTTATTGTTCATAAATAGTCCTGCCGCCCGGCGTCCGTCCATGATTTCCGGTGAATCAAACCGCGCGGAATCATTCCGCGCGTCGTACCGCGACCGGGGGTGGCGGATGCCAGCAGGGGCTGAATCACCCTTGCAGCTCGGAATGGATGAATAACAATCACCGCTCTGTACCGCGGCTTCTCTGCTCTGCCACGCGCCGACAATTTCGACACGTAACTCGGCCGAGGATTCTCGAAACAATGGTCATCTGCATTCTTCTGCGTAGGGTAATTCTGGACGAGATGACTCTGCGGGTAAGACCGCCCGAACTTATTTAGATCATCGAATATCTATATCTTCCATTGTTTTCAGCGGTACACCGAATCTTGCGCAAAGGCCTCAATTGATCGAAAATATTAGGAGTCAGGAAGCGAAGCTAGCCTTCGAGCGATCTCCCTGAAGAACCGACTTTCATGATTACATATACATTTCAGTTAAGTATTAACGGTATTTACGATGCGATAGCACCTTCAGAAGTGGGTCATCCCTCTGCGATTTACCTTATCGGCGACGCGCGCTCGAAAGGTGTTTATGTATCAGTGTCCTGGGAAACGTGTACTCGAGCAACAAATTTCGTTCTAGTTTCGCCTGCCGTCGGACGCGAATCATTGGAACGATCGAGACCGCCGATAAACTGTGTCAATGTCAAGCTGCTCCGAGTCTCCAGACAATGCCCCGAACTCCAGCCGAGAACGAATTCGCTTCTGGTCCCCCGTGTTCCTCGAACGACCACGGAATCCTTAAGTTTCTGCCCCGACTCTGCGTGGGAGAACGCGGCTAACATGACGTCACCTACGTGGGGGTTTTAGTGATCGATAAAACGCGTCACAATGGTCCCTAATATGGATCGGGCACGCGTTCATTACGTCGCGCGTTCCCGCTACGTGCGTTTCTTTTCCTCCGACCGGATTCCTTTTCGAGGAATCTCGGGTGCCGTTTAGAAATGCACTTAGAAGGCAACCGTCGGCAGGTGCAACCGTTCGCGTCGCGCGAAAATGATACGCGCGAGCCGGTGCGTTTAAAAATCGCGTTTCACGAGCGCCGGTTGCAGCGCGGGACGCTCGAGGAAGTCGAAGAAGTTACGAATAGCTGGGTGTCTTTCGTGTAGAACGTAATTAGCGCGGTAATTACGTTGTCATGCGCATTTCGTAGGCTGAAGACGGGAATGAGATTGTTCGGCCGAGCAATTATAAGTGGTATACGGGGTATGCCGTAGAAAACAACTAAACGGAGAGCTGCTGAAAAGATAGTAGCTGCTCGGTACACGCCACCGACTATTAATAGCTAACAAAGTCCGAGAGAGCTATAGCATCCGAGGCCAGATTCGACCGAAGGAATTCTTTAACCATTCGACCCTTTCGACTGTCATTCCTGAACGATTCAATGTCGAGGGTACGGCCCGAAGTAACACGACTTCGTGACCTCTCTCTGCGCCAACTTCCTTCAACCGCGGACGAACGGAGAACAATAAAACCATTTCGTCGTTTCTGCCGATGAACGTTGATGATAGAATTAAAGTTTGCGATGGACACGCTGAGACTTGGCTCGTTCCGTGAAAAATCTTCCGAGATTGTTATTCTTTAAATTATCGCAGTCAATGTATTTCAATGATTACAATTGAAATGCAGGGATAACTAAAAAACTGATGATTCTTTAAAAAGAATAGGCTAGAGGGTCATCATGAAATTTGATTGTTTAGAAAATATAATAAAGCACCGAAGTTTTTTATAGGAATTTATATCGTGTTTCGCTATGGGAAGACGAAAATAGTCGGTGTAATACATTGCAGCCGTAAAAGGCGATTTCATTCAATGTTTCGCTACCAAGCAGACAATGAGCACTTAATAGTAATTTGTACTTGGCTTACTTAGAGCGATTGACTGAGGAGCACGAGTCGTTGTCGTCGTACGACGACTTCGCATCGGTATCGGTGACTTGAGTGCAAATGGGGCTTGAGGTTAACGCGCCGTGATGTCACTGTCTGATATCATAGAGTCCACTTTCTACTTTGGCTCTCAACTTCGACCAAAATACTGGCCTCAGATTTCGGGTTACATAATTTGTCATTAAGAAATTTCTGCGCGTCGCCTTCGCGTTCGGTCCTCGTTAACTTTGTAAATTATACTCGGGTTTATGCAACAACGTTCCCGCGTTGAAATAATAATCCAACGGATTTACGATCTCGCGAATTCGTTAACGGATTTGCAACAACTTTACCGGAAACCTATGAAACCCGACGACAACCGGTTTGTTAGAAACATTCGCGGTACGTGGGTTTGCAATGCGATCTGGTTGCAACCGCATGCTGTGCCTGTGTACGCGCCTGTGTTCGTCTTACCAATAAAATACCGTGAATAAACATTCGGTGTCCGAACTGGTGTTGAATTATGTTTTAATTCGCCTTGCAAGCAATCATCGCTGTAAACTCTGCAACAGTGTTTCGTTGTTTGTAAATTCGAGTCTCCTGCCAGTTGCCATTTTAAGTACGGTAACCGTGCGCTTCTAAATTCGATCTGAAATTTTCAAGAATTCGCTGTCATTTCTTCTTACTCGATAAAAGTGGGGATCGTGTTTATAAACGGGGCACAATGTTGTATCGATACGAGACAACCGAGTTGTTTGCGAAATCGTAAACACGGTTTTCGTGACGTCCGTTATATCTGGTACCAGCTGTACCCTTTATCTTCAGTACGCGTGAAAAAATGCCGTTACACGCGAGTTAATGTGGCGGTGGCCAATGTCACTGCCACGAATAAACCGTGAATACGTAACGCGAGCGTCCGTGGTAAATTGAACTGATTGTGCAACCGTTATTATTTTATGAACCTCCTTTCTTCGATACACAGCGTCACGGTGCATACATTGTCAGCGGAACTGCCAACAAGGAAATACAAATTGTTTATAAATAAACGTGCACCACGCGACGCAGGTAGCTCTCTATTGAAATAGACGATGGTTTTCATTGCAAAATGAATTTCAATGAACCAAAAGGAGGGGCGAGTAAACGTCCGTTACCGAGACTTTGTGCTGTATTATATTTAAATGTCTGACAGCGGTGTGATTTATTTAGCTCCGAAGTAAATGCTATGATAATGGTCGGTATATTTATATTGAATAAGGGAGGGAAGAAATTCCGTTTGAATTGCCGTCACTTGTCGCGCTGCTTGATTGCTCTTAACTCCCCCTTGCGTTTACCGACGGTACTAAATTAACGTCTTGGCGAAGTTTGTCAACGATCATGAAGGGAACCGTGGAAAATGCTTCGAATAGGCGTCCGAGACGGGGGGATGAGAAAAATCAGGCTAGCACGAAGAAACCGTTCGACAAAAAGAAGTACAGGGCGCAAAAGTACAGCAACAAATACAAAAGTACGTCGGGGACCGTGAGAGTAACATGAGTACATATAGGTTAGATTCCATGGCCGAATGTTTGTTGCCGTGAGATTATCGTGCATGATTTTTTCAGTTAATCAATGGGAGGAGCGCAGGAAAAAAGCGATTCTACGAGATTATTACAAGGAACGTGAGAAGAGCGAATGTCAACGACCGAAGCAACCGGTTTCATTGAAAAGTGATGATCCGAATGGAAATAGTCAGCAGTATGTAACTGACAGTTTACGTTCAAGGTGTGACGATAAGATTAATGTAACCGCACTTACTATTTATAGGTCACATCCGCCGAAGATAAGTGCATTTCATAAAGCTAAAAAGGAGTTCTTGCGAAAGAAGGACGAGAAGAGGAAAAAAAGGGAGGAGGCTATGCGTGTGAAATCTGAACGAGAAGAGGCACTTAAGAAGTACAAGGAGAAAAGAATGCAAACGTATAAGAGACTTTCGAAAAAGACGAAAAAGGGTCAACCTGTAATGAAAGACAGGTTAGAAATGCTGTTGGAGAAAATACAGCAACAGGTGTAAAATATTTGAATGTGATGCGTACAACACAAGGTTACCCACCTGGTTTCTTATATCTGTACATATGTTGACACGAATCTTCAATAAAGTACCTTGTTTCTTAAAAATAAGTCATATTTCGATATAGGTTTCCACTTCTTCGAACATTACCATTCACGAAAGCGTTAAATTAAATTCCAATTTAAAATTGGTGAATTTAGCAAACTTCGCTGCATCTCGAGACAGCGTCCAAGCCACGCGAAAATTGAAATGTCCATAAAATTAAGTCGTTCGTCGATTCAACGTCGTGTTCGTTATTCTCACAAACTGCGATTATTAAAATGACGAACGATACTCTTCGTTTTCGGATACGAAATAGACAACGGCGATTATAATGATTGCAAAAAAAAATTAAACAATCAATGAAACTTTCCGCGATTCGAATATGAATTTGGCTGCGCAACACTCAAGGCGCAGGCGCAATGGCATTTGACGGGCAGCCGTCAGCTAGTCAGCGGTTGCAAATGGCGACAGCCACGAAATCTCTGGCACCGACTCGCGAATAGTTTCACGCCTACCGAGTGCTGCGTGATCGAGCCGTGCGTGAAAGTTACCTTAACTCAGATCGGTATGTACTCGAAACTGATCGTATAATCGGCGCGCACAGCGAATAACCTTTTGCCTTAGAAAACATAGTCGCGCTTGGTGGCACTCTCCTCCTGTACACGACAGCTCTTTTAAGGAGATAAAAAGTCACTCTGCGACCTGTTTCTCCCCTTCGAAATATTCGTTTTGTCCGCTCGATCGATGCATCATGATCTTCGACTAATCTTACGGCGAGCGTTACCGCGATTCGCAAAGAGAACAATCGAAAAAGTTTTCACGTAACGGGTGCCACTATCAGCGTTTGCACGGCACTGCTGTCAAAAAGTGTTTGGGCAGCGGAATCTAGGACGCGGTACCGGCTTAATCGCTCGATTTTCCTTTCGAGCGTCTTAATATTCTGTTCTGCATCACACTGCCTGCCCTTTCGATTTCTCTCCCTTTCATCCGCTGTGCTAGCTTTTCTCAATGATATTATATACTCGAATTTGATACACCGAATCGTTTTTCGAAGTTCCTCTTCAGACCGAAGGGCTTGCCTGTTCGAGTACTCTTAATCAACGAATACGTTCGGATCGTTTTTTTTTAAGCTTCATTCCCCTGTGCATCAGCCATGTGTCATTAAATGACCGTGTACAGTGGCTGACGAAATATGTTCGAACGTCTTCGTTAAAAAATTTAATAAACAAATTACCGCCGCATTATACCGAACAGTTTTTAATATTTTTGCCACTGCCAAGTAGATAGTACTGCATGAGCTGTATTTGCGAATTTTGAAAAAATAGTGTGTCCTATATATGTGACAGACACAGGGTGTTGACTCTCAATTCTGAAAGATTACAAGTATAACAAGTTGTTAGTACAAGAGACAATTCAGTTAAATATAATGTGACGTTTAATTGATTCCATGATTTTTATGTTGCTTATTCTTATGAAATATCATTTTGATACTTTTATACGTCTGACTTTTTTTTAATTCGGCCTATATAATTATGGCTAATACATTTTTTGGAGCCATTATGAAAGAGGGAAGTCGTTTAATTGTGAAAAGATATAGCTTTGAATTATTGAAGTACTCTTGTGTAGATACATAAGTACCTTTGAATGTGCTATGTTTCACAGGTGGTTTTTAAGAAGAAGAAGACAAAATGCCGGCTGTTAGAGGAGATGGAATGCGAGGATTGGCTGTGTTCATTTCCGATATCAGAAATTGTAAGTGAAGTTGACCATATAATTATTATATTACAATTTTATGTATTAACTTCATAAGCTATTAAATTGTACTTGATTATACGATCATAGTATTTATCTGTAATATTACAATGTTAGATAACATGGAATATAAGTTAGTATTTGGATCATTGAAATTTTGACCCACGTTCTATCCATTCAGAGATACGATGCCATTGAAACTAATGTAACACGCAATGTATTTAAAGCAGTCAAAAGTAGGAGACAGGGGGCGGAGTTCTGATATAGTCATATCTCTCTGATTATAGCTTGTCTTTTAAACACCAATATGTAATACTTGGCATAATGTAATAAATGTTTATTGAACCTAACACTTTGAATATCCTAAAGAGAATTTTATGAAAATAAATAATAATGAAATGTGCATTAGTACATTAAATTATTATATGTAAAATAGAATAAAAAAAGCTAACAGATATAGAGCAAATCAATACAAGCAAACTTTGATACCAGTCCAAGTGGCATAGAGCCATTATAGTTTTTTGTGAAATCTATAACAAATGTATACTTCTATATACATATAAATATATATGTTGAATGTTTACATATTTTATATATATTAGTATTTTATTTAAGAAATTATATTGCCCATAAACTATATTATATTTTTAAGTGTTATATAAATACCTGACTGTTGGTCTTATCAGGCAAAAGTAAAGAAGCGGAGATCAAGAGAATAAATAAAGAATTGGCAAATATTCGGAGTAAATTTAAAGGAGACAAACCATTAGATGGTTACCAAAAAAAGAAATATGTTTGCAAGCTCCTCTTTATTTTTCTGCTTGGTCATGATATTGACTTTGGACATATGGAGGCTGTCAATTTACTTTCATCTAACAAGTATTCAGAAAAACAAATTGTAAGTATTAATTCTGTGAGGAGCTATTTATGATATGCTTTTATTTATCATCACAAGTACATTGTCTGTAATTAAAAAAGAAACAATTAAATGTGTAAATATTTTATTAATTTTAGGGATACCTTTTCATATCAGTTTTAGTAAATACGAATAGTGATCTCATTAAGTTGATAATTCAAAGTATAAAAAATGATCTTGCGTCCCGTAATCCAGTTCATGTTAATCTTGCGCTTCAATGCATTGCCAATATTGGCAGTAAAGAGATGGCTGAAGCTTTTGGTAATGAGATACCAAAATTACTTGTTTCTGGGTAGGTTTATATAAGTATTTCATTAGGTTTAAACGTGGTTTATTAAACTATAAAATGGTTGTTAACATTTTTTATTATTTTGTTATGGTATAGAGACACCATGGATGTAGTAAAACAAAGTGCAGCATTGTGCTTATTAAGATTATTACGCACTGCCCCAGATGTTGTTCCTGGTGGAGAATGGACTTCACGTATAGTTCATCTGTTAAACGATCAACATCTTGGTGTTGTTACTGCAGCAGCATCTCTGATAGATGCCCTTGTAAAAAGAAATCCAGATGAATACAAGGGGTGTGTTAGCTTAGCAGTTTCAAGATTGAGCAGGGTATGGCATAATTTGTTAAATTCGCCCATGGTCGAAAGATACTTCTTTGATATTTACTCTATCTCATTAGATTGTGACATCAAGCTACACAGATCTACAGGACTATACATATTATTTTGTGCCAGCACCATGGTTGTCTGTTAAGTTGCTGCGTTTACTACAGAATTATACTCCACCTGGTATATTACTTCAACTCCATTTTTTTAATTAAGCACCTAAACAGAAATGGAAATAATGAAACTTTAATTTAAAAAATTTTCCTAACAGTAATCAAACCTTTACTCTCGTAAAAGTGTCAGATTTTAGTAACTTTCTGTTTAGGTCCTTACAGATTGTAGTTATAAAGCAACTGAATTTTAATTCTAAAACTTTAACAGCTGAAGATCCAGGTGTAAGAGGCAGATTGAACGAATGTTTAGAAACTATATTAAACAAAGCTCAAGAACCACCAAAATCAAAGAAAGTACAACACTCTAATGCAAAAAATGCGGTGTTGTTTGAGGCCATTAGTTTAATTATTCACAATGATAGTGAACTGCCTTTGTCGGTCAGAGCGTGCAATCAACTTGGCCAATTTCTTTCAAATCGTGAAACTAATCTTCGCTATTTGGCTCTGGAGTCCATGTGTCACTTAGCTAGATCTGAGCTATCGCACGAGGCAGTGAAAAAGCATCAAGAGGTTGTTATTCTTTCTATGAAGATGGAGAAAGACGTGTCTGTGAGGCAACAAGCTGTAGACCTTCTATACGCTTTATGTGATAAGAGCAATGCAGAAGAAATAGTACAAGAAATGTTAAATTACCTTGAAACGGCCGATTATTCGATTAGGGAAGAGATGGTTCTAAAAGTTGCGATCCTAGCTGAGAAGTATGCTACCGATTACACTTGGTATGTTGATGTTATATTGAATCTCATTAGGATAGCTGGTGATTACGTGTCGGAGGAAGTTTGGTACAGAGTTATCCAGATAGTCATCAATCGAGATGACGTGCAGGGATACGCAGCGAAAACTGTGTTTGAGGTAACTAATATACATTTAATCGATTTACACACGTCTTAGCGTGAAAATTTCTTATAACTTTAATCTTTACTTGACTAGGCCTTGCAGGCACCAGCTTGCCATGAAAATATGGTGAAAGTTGGTGGCTATATACTTGGCGAATTCGGAAATCTCATTGCTGGTGATCAACGTTCGTCACCGGCTGTGCAATTTCAATTATTACATTCCAAAGTGAGTTACATACGTTTCAATTAATTACATTTAATGTATTAACGTTAATATATTCTCCTTTTAGTATCACTTATGCTCCCCAATGACTCGAGCATTGTTATTATCGACGTATATTAAATTTGTTAATTTGTTCCCTGAAATGAGACATCAGATACAAGATGTCTTTCGACAACACAATAATTTACGTAGCGCAGATGCGGAGCTACAACAGAGAGCTTCCGAGTACCTCCAATTAAGTATTATTGCATCCAGCGATGTACTTGTAAGTAATTTTCCATAATCAAATAGAATATATAGTCCCGTGAATAATTATTCGATTTAACTGTTTTACAGGCAACTGTTTTGGAAGAGATGCCTGCGTTCCCCGAGAGAGAATCCTCCATTCTTGCAGTGCTGAAAAAGAAAAAGCCTGGTAGAGTGCCTGAGAATGAAACCAGAGACAGTAAAAGTCCTGCGCCGAATGCTAATCATCATGCAGAGGCGCCTGCGGCCGCAGCAGGAGCGGTTAATAATACATCAGCAGATTTATTGGGTCTTTCTACGCCACCGTCTTCTCAACCGACCAGCAATACAGGAGTACTCCTCGACGTGCTGGGAGATATTTATAATATATCAAACAAAGTCGGTGCTACAAATGGTGCCCAAAATACGTATAATCCTAAGAAGTAAGACAGCTTTAAAGCTACGAATACTCTTAAAGACATCGACACAGAGTCTTCGCGACACGCTGTCTTTTAACATCGAGATACTGTCTTTTCTAGATTCGTTTGTAAAAACAACGGTGTACTATTCGAAAATGATTTAATTCAAATCGGAGTGAAATCGGAATTTAGACAAAATTTGGGGCGTGTTGGTTTGTTCTACGGAAATAAGACTCAATACGCTCTTCGTAGTTTTCAAACTCAACTTTCTTGGACAGAGGAGAATCAAGCAAAATTAGCCGTACAAGTGAAGCTAGTCGATCCTGTGCTGGAAGACGGTGCTCAGATTCAACAAATGATCAACGCGGAATGCATTGATGACTATAGCGGTAAAGGAAAACATGTTACATAATATTCCAAGAAACACCAACTAGATGCAACACACAATTGACAGTTACCGAGCTGCTATTAAATTGTTTTCGTCTGTACAGATGCGCCGAGTATGCTCATATCTTTCGTTTACAATAACGTGCCACAAAAGATAACGATGAAATTACCATTGACGATCAACAAATTCTTCGAGCCGACGGAGATGAACGGAGAATCCTTCTTCGCGAGATGGAAAAATCTTGGAGGGTACGTGGACCATAAAAAAGATGCCCTAAAATGTTCCATATATTTTTTTTATATGTAATAGCGAATGTCTTTCCAGAGCGAACCAGCAGCGTTCGCAGAAAATATTCAAAGCTCAACAACCAATAGATCTATCGCAGGTTCGCACGAAATTGCAAGGATTTGGAATGCAGTTACTGGACGGTATCGATCCGAATCCTGATAATTTTGTCTGCGCGGGTATAGTACACATGAGGGCACAACAAGTAGGATGTTTGTTACGTTTGGAACCTAATAAACAAGCGCAGGTAACCTTTGCACGAGGAGTACAATATCTCTCTTTGTCAATTATTAATGATACTATATTTACAGATGTTCCGTTTGACGGTACGTTCGAGTAAGGAATCAATGTCAGTAGAGATCTGCGACCTGCTGGTGGACCAATTTTAAAACGGCCTAGCAGGCGTGAAATTAATCTAAGATGCATTAAAAACGCCGTGGGAAGACATATCGTGATTATAAAAGGATGTCGTCTCTCGACGTTCAGAAAGATACTGATGATTATTTGTTAAGAGATATTCGTTGTACCCAAGCTTACGCTCACAGCGCGGTCGTGAGAACTGAACCCTTGTGTAGACGGAGCGTTGTTACCACGTATAATCCTGAAAAAAAAAATGCAAGG